CTCTCTGTATCAGGAATTGAACTCAGGACCTTGTGCTTTCCAGGCAGACACTCGCTGCTGAGCTACATCCCTGGCCCAAGATTGGCTATTTCTAAGTGAAGGAGAAAAAAATGAGAAAAACTTTCATAATAAAGTATTACAGGGAGATGGCTCAGTAGAATAAGCGCTTGCCTGGCAAACACAAGGGCCTGAGTTCAATCCCTGGTTCTGCGAAAAAAATAAAAATAAAAATAAATAAATAAATAATAAAGCATTACAGGAAGAAAGTGAAGAGAATTTTCCAGAACTATACTAGTCATTCCCACTTTTTAATGTCCAAGTCCTTGTACATAAGTTGTTTTACTTTGATGTCTGAGGTTGAATCGTGAACTCATGCAGTACTCATTCATCATTGTTCCATGAAAGGCAATTAATTGATTAAGCACTGGGACTGAAAGGGAGAAAGATGCATGCCCTGTCCTTACAAAGCTTGTAGTTTGGTAGGGGAAATGGCACATGGGCTTGGAGTTATGTTATAGTCTAGGGTGCTGTGATGGGGGTGGAGTGAGAACTGAGGGTGGCATTCCCAAAAGAAGAACATAAGAATGCTCAAAACGCTTTCCTGGGAGCCTCTGCAGACACATGGGAGAGAGCTGATTGGAGAAGAAAGGAACTGATGTTAAAACTGTCTCTGTTATAAGCACAAAGTGACCCCACACAAACTAGAGTGTCTCGTACAATGTCTTCAGGCATCTGCTTCATGGGCTGCCCATCAGTATTTCCCTTATTCCTTCCTAATGGAACCCAACATGTACACACTCACATTGGAGCTGCTTTGTTGAATGTAATGAAAATTCGTGAGCCATGAAAATAAGCCAAATGCTGTTCATTTTTTTTACAGATTAAGATGACCAGAGTAGGGCAGGCCTCATGATCCAGTGACTTAAGGAAGTCAGCAAAGGCCTGGCTCCTTCTACACCATTTCCCTGTCTTTACATGTGGCCTTTGACCTTATGGCTAACCGGTGCTGTCTCACTGCCAGCCCCACATTCAGCTCCAGACTGGAAGAATTAGGAGGAGACTTGAAAGAATTAAGTGCAACAGAGGGCTGGGGTGATAGCTCGGCAGTCTAAGCACCTGCCTGGCAAGCGCATGGCCGCAAGTTCAGTCCCCAGTACCAGAGGTCATGCTGATCCCAGAACTCTGGGCATGCCGTGCTGGCCTGAATCTGGGTGTGGTGGCACAGGGTTGTAATCCCAGGTCTGGAGAGGCTGAGACAGGATGAGGTTTCTGTAATGAGAAGGAAGTGGAGAGTGGCTACTAGGTGGTCAGAGGTCAGCAGAGTCAGCAGCATGACCATGGTATCACGCACTTGGCTTCTATCTCTGTTTGTTTGTTTTTTAAATGTAACTACTGCTTTTCTTTTTGAGCTTTGACCTTGGAAGGTGGCATCCAGACCTCAGGACTGCCATTATTAGGATGTGTACAGACTGGGAGAAGCAATAAACAGTCCTACAGCCGTGTGCCACATAAAGACATTTCAGTCCATGCGCCAGTAGCCAACCACCTGTGTGACAATGGTCCCGTAAGAGTACACAGCCTTGTGATACTTTAGGTGTGTTAGTTTGTGTAAGTAATGACTATGATCCTCCCACAGTGAGAGAATGACCTAAAATGCTTTTCTCAGAACTTGAAATACTTATCCACATAGGACTCACACATGACAGTACTCAGAAAAGTGAATCATAGTCTAGTTTTAAATAACAAAATCTTTCCAGATAATCCCACTATAAACCCCTGCTCTTGTACATTTGTATTAGTCTCACATGCTGTCAAAGTCTTTGCTTATCCAAAGTCGACTGGAAAAATCTCTTCAGAAATCTTTTGTCACCTGAGTTGCTCTGCATTGATATATTTATAAATCTCATAATAGATTAATGTATATTGCATCAATATTTAATAATTAGCCTTTTTTCTTTTGTTTTACTCAAATATGTGGGTAAGGTAAAAACATAATTATCTCTTCTCTCTTTAGAGAAAAAGAACCAAATTCATTGCCTGTGATTTTCTGACTGAGTGGTTATACAAGTAAGTTGTTTGTGCCTTTCAGTATTCAGTGGGCCCTGGGAGACAATTGTGTGAATTTGTAAGCAGAACAGCAACAACTGACTTGAATTCTTGCTTATTGTTTTCTTGTCAATCCAACATATGGCATCATGATCAGCCAAAATCCAAAGAGGACAGGGGAGCCCTTCACAGAATTCTTCTCCATCCCATGTGTGCAGGAATGGCTAAAATACCAGTAAGTTTGAATACTTTATTCCTAACCTTAAAAATGGGTTAATGATGTTTTTTTCCAATCTAAAAGAACTAACTCAGGGGCTGGGTAGATGGCTCAGTAGAATAAGCGCTTCCCTGGCAAGCTCAGGGGCCTGAGTTCAATCCCTGATTCCACTAAAAAAACGAACAAAAAAATAATAAAAGAACTAACTCCTGTTGTCCACTTAGGACCAAGGATCAGATCTTGTCTTCAGTTATTTTTAGCCCAGGCTAACCCCAAACTATCCTTGCTGTGATTTCATTCCAGAAAATTTTAGAGATAAAATAGAAAACAAACTTTTGTCCTAACACATTATATTTCTACTCTTTGCTCTCTGTCTGTCTCTCTGTCTGTTTGTCTCCTTTTGAGACAGGTTCTCCCTGTGTTTCTCAGGGTAGTCTCAAAGAATCCTGCCTCAGTTTCCCGTTATCTTTCAAGGTTATTATGCTTCATGCAATATGACAAGTATTTTCTAGCCATTAATTTCTTGTCCATTCTCCTTTAATAATATTAGATCGTGATACATAACATTAAAACTCTCTTTGATCACACTAATCTAGATCTCCTCCCTTCACAGAGCTCTTAAAATTGATTTAACCATATAAAATTTGTTTATATTATTTTTTAACTTTATTTATTTTTTTTCATAATTTTATTGAGAAACACATAGCAATGAGACAGTTTCAAAC